TCCAGTCGAATCCGGTACTGTGATCACACTTGGGACAAGATTGTTAAGCAGACGCACTCCGGCCAAATATTCATGCTCGAAATTGGACTCGAGCAAAAAGACAGCGGTCCAGAAAATTCCGCACACAAGATCGGTCTGTTCATCTATGGTTAGGCGACACAAAAACTGTTTGGATTTCTCCTGGGGCTGAGTGGATGCGGGTTTTGACAGCGTACTATCAGTGATTTAGTTTGCGTGTGTGTTGGAAAGGAAACAGAAGATAAAATACTGGAGTTTTCACTATAACATAGTACAAACATGTGAAGAATCAAGTAACAGTAAATACTTCGATTTTCCTAACACATTGGTAGTGGGACATTACCGAGGGTAATCAACACCTGATGGCGGAGAAAAATGGACACCGTATTACGTGAAACAGGCCCAGAGTCGATCGGTAGATCGAGCTCAAAAACCTGGTGGGACTCGTAACAATGAGGGTCCGAGTTTGAGTCGTCACAAACAAGGCGGATATGCATTGTAGTAGTTTTTAGCGGTATCCGTGACAAATTGATATAACCAGAGGATTCACTTTTTAATTGAGAACAAGTTAACAAACAAACTCGTTTTGATGCTACATCAACTGGATGTATTTATACAGCACAAATCAAAACAGATCAAACAGACGGTGGGAGGAAATCAGAGTTTAAAAAGAGATGATGAAATTGTGATTATTGATGTCGCTAAGTAAGTACATCTGTGTGCATGCATCGGAAACGATGACGGAGGGTGGTTGTGGATGGGTGAGTGATTGAATGAGTGAGAATTCATGAGTGGAGATTATGTCACCAGAGTGTTAGTGGATGGCCATGGTAAGACTAGTGTTTCTGGGCTAAAATGTGGGGTGCGTGTGTGTGGAGACTGATGAAAGTCGCCCCAGATGTTGATTTCTTTGAATAACCTTCCCTTGTTCGCGTATAGAGGATTGAAAGCCTCATGTAAATTAAATGTGTGATTAGCCTCAATCAAAAACGACACGTAATCGCCCTCGCCCCGGTCCTTGTCCATCCCTGATTCAACCAACTAGGGTGAGGCTCCTTGATACGACCATATCTCATCATTCGACCCACAGGAGCAGGTGAATTGATAAACACAAATGAGGTCGCATTCGGGGGTGATCTTTAGTCTGCACAAAGAGAACAGATTTGGACGTAAATAGATGAATTTGATGGACGATTGAATTCGTTTACCCAACATTTCCACAATCATTTCTCCCTTGAATGGGATGGAGAGATAGATACGCGTCATATTTGCTTTGTCACAAGATGCTTTCGGAGGATATAATACCATATTTGTATGAATGAATGACTCAGAATATTCATTCAGCAGGAAAATATTTCGTATTCTATCAGTTGGAGTTCGACATAGTCCGACGAAAAATTTTTCTTAGCCCTATTTGTTAAACGGCGAATCAGATTTCTCTTCTGTTGCAATGAGACGAAACATTGGTGTGTGTACTGCCCGGTCGATGTTTACTTATGGTGAACGCTTCCATGAATGGAGCCATCTGACCGTCGAGACAAAAACATATCTATACCTTTTT